ATCTGCCATTTCTAAATTAATCATTATATTCGCATTGAAATAATAAAGCATTACAATACTGATTTTGATATCTGTCTATCTCAATTTTAGGGAAGTTTAAATGTTTAACAATAAAATTTTAAACAAAGCTAAGCCAAAAAATATGTATCTATATTATAAAAAATATTTAATATGTCAATTGAAATATTATTAAGATATTTATCAAGATATCACCTTTGCACTCAACAGATTGTATAAGAGATAACAATAAGGTTAAAGATGGGATGCGGTGAGGCGTCCCGAGTAAAGTGCACTTCGTAATTATCCGATTAAAGATCGTACGGCTATGCCTTAACCGTTCAGAGATACTTTTCACCGCTTAAGAGCAACCAAAATAGGATTCACTTTCCTTAGATGAATATATTTTTTAAGTAGTAATTGTTCAACGAGCTAGCTAAAGTATAAGTTTAAACTTCCAGTCAGAACAAAAGGTAACCATGTGACAAAGAGTAACAAAAGTTAAGTAATAAGTTGCACGTTATATTAATTTATAATATCACCTCCGCTTTCTAATTTTCATATCTTGTAGTTCAGGTACACTTAAACGCCGACTTAAAACTTGGTGCGCAGTTAACAGCAGTAGTAAATATACGGAAAGATAAACCGGTAAGCGGTTCTGAAACTTGCTGCTGTATTCATGAAGCGAGAATAACATAATTGTGCTTATCCGGTTTTCGAAAATATGTGGCCTCATTCAATACATAACACAAGAACTTTAGGCATTCAAACTTAGCTTATAATTTTCATAAACTTTAATACAATTTCTACAGTAAGTGGTCACCGCAAAACTTAGTCCAATAAAAGTACTTGATAACTTGCAGAATTATTATATCTTTAGGATTTTATTTAAGTTATGGCTTCTTGAGAGAACGATTTTCTTTGAAAATGGGTTTTTGCAACTATATTTCACTTGCCTTTATAAATATCTAACTGGGTTTTATAATAAACGTACTATAAAGAAGGCTTATGCTTAAAATTATATTACACCGGAATAATAACTACTCCATGGAAAGATTCATTTGGGCTGTTTTATGATTGAGTTTTAGAAAAATATGTGTGGGTGATGATGAAAACGACTAATAAAATGAAATAGTTGTTAAATTAATTTATAATAGAGAATTTCATTTGATATTCAATTTAGGAAAAAATATAAAAAATGTATTCTTATTATTTAGAGAATAATAAAATGAAAAGAAATAAATGAAAACCTGAAAAAAGTAACGAATTATATAACACATAATTATAAAATTTTGTACCAAATATTCAGCAACTAGATTTCATTTTAAATATTAATTAGGAATATTAAAGGTATGAAATGTTTATTAGAATTTATTTTAAATAAAATAATTATATTCTTAGAATATAGGATTTTATAGAAAGTTAAGTTGCTGTATGAAAAAGAATTATTTTTTTGTATTATTCTGGCCTAAATAAAGATTTTTTTATTTTTGTATTTAAATTTATCATAGATGTCTAATTAAAAACTTTATTTTTTAAAACTGTGCGTAGCATCCACTTGATTAAATTGTAAAATCAAAATTACAATGCGAAAGCGATAGTACATAAAATATCCAATTATATGTAAATTTTAATTATTTCAATCTAAGTATTGGAGTACGAAATGCACAATAAATATAATTCAGGGATCAGCCGCATATTACAAAGTCAGTACAATATTTACTTAAATTAATATTGTGAGTAAATTCTTAACCAAAGAAAAAGAGTATGAATGGTTCACGCATAATTAGCGACACTATATTCAGATTCGCTGCTCAGGTATAATCTTTTCACTTAAAAGCTTCTCCGCTATGTTACGCAACATGCGATAAATGGGAAAGAAAACAGGTGAACTATTAAAAGTGTCAGAGTAAAATAGAACGTCCCGGTACATAATATTATTAACAAGCATCCCACGCATCCAAATTAAAAAATTGTATAATTGGCGTTATTCCTTAATTATTAATCTTTCGAGGCAGCCGACTTTCGTAACGAGCAATTAAAATACATAATTATGTCGAGGACAAAGATTGCATCACTTTTAATCTTTTGTCAGAAGGACAAACAATAGTCTTATTTGTGTTTCGTTTCGTTAAAACATAACCTAGTTACATTATACGCCAGAAGTTCAATTAATGAGAATATTTTTGATATCAACATTCAAACGGCGGGCTCGAATCTTCCATTGTTCGTTTTCAACTCCAATATCTATTTCAACTTCCATTGTAATATGTTTTAATTACTTTCATTACTGTGTGTCAGAGGGATTATTTGAACGTTTTATTCTACTTGAGCCGATACCTACTTTCTTTCGGAAAGTAATTAGTTATATAACGACGCACATGGGAGATGAGTTTTTATTAGATCTTTTTATATTTAAAGGTCAATTTGAATTAAATTCTTTGCAAAAAATCATAAATTACTTTATTTTCCCAATTAAAGAAGATGAAATATTATTTTTACGAAGAAATTCCTAGTTTTCTTCAGAGTGTCAAAACCCCAAACAGTAAGTAGTTGATTTTATTGGAAGAGTACCATTAACTTCGTACTAATTAGTTACTATATCCTTTAGATATTTTTATTGATAAAAACACGTCACTTGTTCAGGATACTTAAATCTTGTTTTAGGTTATATTAGAGCTTAATAAAAAAATATTGTATATACGCTGTTAAAATTTTATATACATATATGTATAATTTATAAAATTTATATAATATTATTTGACATATTCCGGAGCTGATGCTGGAGCCTGCTATTTGTCTGGGTTAAAATTTATCCCTTAGAGAAATGACATCAAATAATAGTCTCGGAACATTTCCGATCGGTAAATAATTCAAAATCTAATCCGTGTGTGGTGTTATATTATGAGGTTAAATCCAGCTTAGAATTTTGTCACCATGACATCATACAAGACAAATTTGATGTTCCTATACATTTAGATCAATATATTGGTAATTTAATTCAGCATCTTAATTACAATCTTAACCATAGTACAAGACAGACATAATGTATTTTAATTCCACCCATTGTATTGTGGTAACATGTTTATGAGCAAATAAAGTCATTCTAATCGATATTAAATTTTGACAATGTCATTGTCCTCAAAATGATCTTGAGGCAAAACATAGCAATTAGCAGTCAGTCATAACATGAGATTAAAGAACCAGTTAAGTGAAAACTTAAAACTAAAATTACCTATTATGTTACGTGTGGTTATTATTCATAGAATCTAATTATCATTTATCAATGTTCTGTCAGCTATTGGGAAATAAGCATGTAATCCCATTGAACCCTCGTCTGAAATGTAAAGATTGTCGCTTAAACATAATCTTCTTAAGTACTTGTCAGTACAATTAGCATTGTAAATGTAACAAATGTGACATTAAGGCGTATTGTCGATTGTACAGATAAGAGCTGTTAGCATTGAGATCTTATTTCCCTTTGATCAATTAATGTTTGACAAACGTTTATTGTTTTTTTTATTTCAAACCTGATAACTATTTAAATAATAAGCTCTTGTTGTTACATAGATTATCAATTTTAATATACATATATCTCAATACAGGTTGGATATCCATTGTTCATATTTATTTAAAGAGTAAATCAATTTTATATTAATGCTTAAATGACTTTCTAAGCCGTGTAAAGTGACCCGAACCCACGCATTGGAGGTCATTTCGCTTCACAAGTAATAAATAACAATAAATTCTTAAAAATATTGAACTTCATAACTAAATGTATCACTAAATTGAATGACTATACAAACCTAACCCTAGTGGGCGTCCACCCACGGACGAATTGAAAAATATTTTAAAAAATTTAATGATACAAGTTCCGTACAAAATCATATAAAAAACAGAACGACTTTAACAATTATGAAAACAATAATAATGATCTTCATACATCAAGTATTATGAATTATTCTTATAAAACTCAAAACATCCAAAACCTTTTTAAATCTATAAAGGGAACCCTATTTTATTTATATGCCAGCACTCGGTTGTTTTATTGAATTAATAAGATAAAAACATTGTTTTTTAAGTAAATTGATATCGTTAAAATTGAAATTACATCGTATATTATCTATAACATGATAATAAACTTCGGATAGAGTTTTGTTTATGGTCCAGATCTCGTAAAGTCACATTCAATAAGTTTATACAAAACCTCAAGTTATGATAAGATAAAAAATAAATGAATTATGATAACTACATCCAAAATCAATGAAAGATAATTAAGAATTATTATTATTTTGTTTAGTTTCTTTGTATATAAGTATTATTATTAATTTATATATTCATTCTAGTTTAGTATCCAAACCATTGTTTGAACTCAAATTTGGCCTTTTCCTTCCTAGAACAATAATTAATGGTAATAAAAAGAGTAGGGGAAAGGGGGGTAAACGCGAACGCGGGGTAATCCCGAACCCAATAGTTTTAATGTGTTAGAAAGATATAGCCGTATATCACTCGCCGGTAACTCAGAGATCACGCCACCACCAGTGCCAGTCAACGACACGGGAGACGCAGACGCACGTACTTTTCAAGGTATGTCAATTTTAATATTTTCAATGTTTTCGATGTAAGTTTTTGATAAATTCAACTTGGTGTGGCTTCAGTTCTATTGAGAATAGTTATTTAACCTTTGTATAGTGGAAAATTTACATACTAACCATTCAAATGACAATGACGCATTTGGTAAAAGTTATATAACCTACAATATTTTTGCCTTTTTATTTTTTTCGACCCGGTGGGGTAAAGGCGAACGCTTCATGTCGGGTAATTTCGAACGTTCGGCATTACCCCTCTCTCCTTTTTTGTTAGTTCCCTGTTAATATTTTTTTTCCAACTACCCACTGGCAAATAGGGTATAGTGTTTTCCAGTCTATGTTGATTTCTTTGTGGCACTAAATTATGTTGTCGGGTGATTTTGATGATGCTAAACATCAAATAAATTTTTTCAGATGCCTCGTAATTATAAAAGAAAAACCGAAACTAAATACAGCTTAGAGGATCTCAAAAGGGCTATAGTCGATGTTCAAACTAAGAAACTCAGCATTGGCAGAGCAGCAAATAATTATAGTATTCCAAAAACTACAATTTATGATTATTTAAAGAAGGCACCTATAAAATTACCAAGGACTGGACGAAGACCGCTCTTCACAGACCAGCAAGAAAAGGAATTGGTCGACTATATCAAAAGTGCAGTAAACTTTATAATGGCCTAACCATAAAAAAAATCGTCAGATTGCGTATCAATATGCAGATAAGAACCGTCTGCCTCACAAATTCGACCGTGTGAAACAGCTAGCCGGAAAAGCCCCCTGGTGAAGACTGGATAATGTGTTACATGTGTGAGAAATTGGCTCACGAGAATTGGACTGACGGACAGTCAACATCGGCGGTTTACAAATGTGATAGATGTCGTTAGTAATGTTAGTACGTGATTACCCCACTTTGTGTTCGGCTTTACCCGACATCAGTTGGGTAAAACCGAACACTAAGGGTTTTGTTTTTTTGGTCATTTTGTTTTATTTTATAAAAAAAATAATAATGTTGATTAGTAATACGCTAATTAGATAAGTAAAGTTTATAATTCAATAATTAAAGAAACTCTGTGATTTGATTCCACTGTTTTATTTATGTTTTCCCTTAGGTGTTCGCGTTTCCCCCACTTTCCCCTAATACCGACCGTTAACTTATATTAACTAAAAGAACAGAATGAAATGTAAAATATTTAGAGCCGTAACAAACCAATAACACCTATACAGTTACTACGATTTAGTTCCAGGTAACCACAAAGAATTTGATAGATATGTTTCCAAAAACGTAAAAGGAACACATATTTCAAATTGTTCCTCAATCAGTACTGTCTCTAATGACGATATTTACCAATTAAAATAGTTGACAATTTTATCTTTTTAATTCAAATTACAATATATTTTACTATCAAATTTATACGTTCTTTTTTAATATTTCCTATCTATGGCTATAAAAATAAGAACCATTTTATATTCTAATATCAGCATATTTTAGTCCTTTATATTTTAAGGGTTCCAAAAGTATCGTTTGCTTTTAGGATAGATAATATAATAAAGTACGTCGTCAAATGGATAAAGATTCCATCGCACTCATGTCTAAGATGGCGGGCAGGTGACGCAGCCGGTGCTAAGAAGTTTTCGGAATTAGCGCAGTCTGAGAACGGTTTATGAAGAATAATGTTCTGTGGCTGGGAAATAAAAAAGTTAATACCATCTAACAACTTTTAATGTCACTGTAAATGTCCGTCTTTAAACAAATGCTATAACTTCACTCTGGTTATTTTCTTTTATCCGCTCATTTAAATCGTTAACATGAGTGCACCATTGTGTTGCACCATTATATTTTTTGTATGAAATCGTTTTTCTCATATTTTAAAATAACAAGTTCAATTTTTTGGACACACAACCCGAAATTTAAGCCGTATTTGTTCCAGGCCTATTTCATACACCAATCAAAACATTTTCTAGCGAAAGAGGACACGAGAGTACCGTTAGTGTCCGCGAAAAATTGAATCTGGAACCAAAAAACACAAATGGAAGCTCAAAAGTCGCGGTTCACTGGCCTGAAACAAAAATAGGCCGGATTTGTTGTGGGCGTTTATAAAGAGTGGAGCATAAAAGTAAAAATATAATAACAGAAAAAGAACAGATTCAAAAATTGACATCATTCGCAGACAAATGGTTTAATTGTGGGTTGTTTTTATAACAGCGATTCAGTATATCTGATAGTGCATAACTAGTAGGTATACAATTTTTGTGATATTATATTCACTATATCTGTATGAATTTCAATAGATTTGTTATTCTTATGTACAATGTTTTCAAAAAGAATATTGGGATTGTTATAGTATTTTTAAATTACTGTTTCAATTTTGTATAAATGAAAAGAATAGAACATTCTACAACAGATTATAATTTATTTCAGCCTAACAATAAATCTCCAAACATCTGTTATTGAAAACAGTGTTCTCCGTAACACGGCGTTAACACGCTTTAACAAGACACCATTTGTTTACAAGGATGAAACGGATTACGAAGTATTCCAGTTTTTATTCTCCCACAAACCGCTGTACAAATAAATTGAGACCGGATAAGGGTGCAAGATCGCGATCGGATACATCCGAACAAATCCCTGCAATCGACAGCAGGCCATTACTCTAAACTATTTACGCAAACGAGGGCTTCCTTAGAAGCGTGGGTTTATTTATATTAAATATACATGCGGTCACCGGCTGGGGGTTTCATTTGGGTTCATATGACTTGTTCCTCGGAATTGAGACTTGGTTGAAATCTACATTTCAAGTATCGTTCCTTATTTGTAGCTCAATTTTATTACATCACTAAACAATTTTAATACATTAAATCTTATTTTGTAGCAGTATTTATTTTTACTGGTAATTTGAACTTTCAGGCCAAGGCCACATGTTAAGTAGGCACAACTTTAAAAAGAAGAAACAAAACAGCTCTCGAGGGTCGACAGTTGCCTGGGAAACATTTGGGAGTTGATGAAATTTAGTAAAAGTCGAGTTGGGAATAATAGAAAGCTCTTTGTAGTCTTGTATTTCGATATGGAGCAAAGGAAATAAAATATCTTTTTTGTAACACTACACTGTGTCAATTGTTCTACATTGTATAAATATAATTCACATAATACACAACATCAAATAATTAAAATATGCATTAACATAAAAATAGAGGATTAAACAAAGATTTTGTGATATACAGTTAAAATGATTCAAAATAAAATATTTTTTTTTTAATATAAGAAGGAGCAAGTGGAATATACCTCAAGTAAACAACATATGTTACTTAAGAATAAACAGATCATTGTGTCTTCACGTTTGTGCCTGCGCAGCTGTTGGATCAAATTGAAAGCGATATTTTTTTTCCTATTCCGGATTTTAAGCGTCCCGCGGTGAAAGAATTCCTTTTTGATGTTAACTAGGTCGGTTCGTTAATATGTTTTGTTTTAAATGTTTTATTTATGGTAGCTATAATGCTTAAAAAAGCTTAGTATTTTTGTTCTTGTTTTATTTTGGTCATTGTTAAAGAACAAAGAAAAGATTTAACTTTGATCGTATATTACAGAGATGATAGCGATGCCGAGGTTCTTGAAACGAATCAAAATTCCGTATTCATTATTTGATATAAATGCCAATGCGAAAATCTAATTGCCAAAGAAAATAGCTATTATTAACAGTGACATAACAAAAAAATGTGATTTTCTATAATAAAGTATAATTAATGTCGAACAATTAAAGGCTTAAGTGACCCAGATTTTTCGATTCTAATTAACAATTCCATTTCATAATTACCAGCCAACCCTTTTATGTGGAATGAACAGCAGGACGATCGAGTAAATGGGATCACTTCACAAAATTGTAATTTATATCGGTATGTTTGTCCGACTGTGCCAATGGGCGATCTTTGTTCAAAAGGGTAACATAATGGGACGTTATAATTTTATTTTAAAGCTACCATGAATATGTGAAATGGACTTCGAATTTTAATTCATTTTTAAACAGCGTATGTTTTTGTTTCTCATGCCGTTTGAATCTTGAGTTATGTTTTATTGTATGGAATTTTTTAAGTTTATTGCCGCTTGTTTGACAAATGGTGCATAGAATTTTAATTTTCTTAATAATTTGTATCCTAAGCTATTTATTACCTTCAAAATCTTTTTAATGAATCAAGAATTTTCAAAGAAAAAAGAAGTTATTATTTAAGGTTCTAATTTGATTTCATAGAGATTTTTTCAATTCATGTATTTAGAAAATTTTTAAATAACCTAGTGGCACATAACTTATTGAAACTTTTCGGAAATACACATTTTATTTTTATATTTTTTGGTATATAGTGCAATAAGGGACTCTAAGATTTAAGGTTTAATTATAATAATTATTTTTAAAGACAAGTGGCATATGTATTTTAACTTTTGTACCTACTTCATTACTGTTGCCGTATATATTACATATATCATATAACACATTCCAAAATTGAATTAACACATATTTTATATATTTACTGAATGTACGAATATCAATATATCTGAAGAAAGAGATGCTGTACTAATTTTTTATCTTTACATAAAATCTACTAAATACTAATATCTTCCATTAAAAGACGTCTTGGTCCTCTTGTGTCCTTTACAATAGACACATAGGGATACAAATAATCTATAATCATTAAAAAATATAGTCGTTGTCTTTACAACGTCCATACATAAAACTAAAATATAAAATCACGTAGACTTACATGAAGTTGCATGATTGGAAGTTGTCTCACACCCTATGAGGCTTAAAATCACCTATTGCATAAACATTTTTACTTTAAAAGATTTATAACATATAGGTTTTAATTTATATAAGAGGCTTAAGACGTAAATATATTTTTATTTACTGTCTTTTTTTATCAATATTAAAAAATATGTAGTTGCCCTTTTTATTGTAATTTTAAATGATAACAATGATTAATGAAAAAAAATTGAAAGTTATTTGTTCTGGTATCCACTGCGTTGGTACCGCTACCACCTGCCAATGCGAACAGGCAATAACCATCAATGTAATTTACGATGTAGCAATAAATCCGTCTAAGGCTTCAAGTTGACGAGATGGATTGGGAGTGTCTGTAGGGGTTCATACATTGTATTAATTTATAGGAAGCAACTACACTTTAAAAGAAATACAGGAACAAATCCATAAAATTTCTATTTTTTAATAAATTAAACCATCTTAATAGTAAAACATTTTCGGTATAATATGTTGTTGCTATTAGAATTCAAACGTTATTAATCAAAATAGATTAAATCCGTTCGTTGCATCGAAATAGTTTAGGGTATTCATCGTTATTTGAACGAAGCCTGTTAGATAAATTGGTTCTGTTTTGTAATTGATTGGTTTTTAAACAAATTGAATATCTATTACAAACATTAGATAATCCAATTAAATAGGAATTAACATATATAATCACATTAAATATAGATATGTTTTTATGCTGAATTTATATTTAACATGAGATGAAAATTTTTTCACGTAACTATACAAATTAATATATCAAGTTTACAACAACATTAGCGGAGTCAAGATAAAACTCTTGTTAACTCGTACAATATGGATTGGAAATTCTCATTCGTTTTAAACTTGAAACTGCCATCTAGTGTTATTACTGCTAATCAAGATTCATCGCTC